TCAAAAGTCTTTAGATATGTTTTACCATTATTAAGAATAATACATTTGATGCCAAAAGTATGGAAATAGTTGAGTTTAGGTTTTCTCCCATTCCATAATTCGTACGGAGTCTTATTGTAAGACTTGTGTATCAAGCTTCGATTTTGCGTGTAACATGCGGTGTTGATTGCTTCAGCCCAATATCTTTTAGGTAGCTCGGCTGACGTAATCATCACTCGTGCGGCTTCTTTTAGCGTTCTATTTCTTCTTTCGGCTACACCGTTTTGTTGAGGTGTACGTGTGGCAGATAATTGATGTAGGATTCTTTGAGAATTGCAGTAGGCTTCAATTACTTGATTCACAAACTCTGTTCCACGATCAGTTCGAATTTTTGCAATTTTCAAGTCTTTCTCATTTTGTAGTAGCTTAAGTAATTCTGGCAACTTTTGCTCCACTTCATTTTTCTTCTTGAGAAATATCGTCCATGTGTACCTGGAAAAATCATCAACAACAACTAGTGTATATTTCTTACCACTTAGACTTACTGGGTCTACTAGACCGAATAGATCCATGTGTAGTAGACTTAGCGGTCTTGTTGAAGATTCTTGAGCTTTGGATTTGAATGATGACTTGATTTGCTTTCCTCTTTGGCAAGCATCACATATTTGATCTTTCTTGTAGACAATGTCGGGTAGACCTTCAACGAGTTTGTTTCTTGCTAGCTTGTTGATAGTCTTGAAGTTTAGATGATTCAACTTCTTATGTCATTCCCAACTTGTTGCGTGTGAGTTGTTTGCTAGTAGGCACACTGATTCTTTTGTTGTGTTCCAATCCACCACATACATATTTTTCTTTCTTATTCCTTTGAGCACAACTTCTCCTGAGGAATTATCCTTCACTTGATATTTGTCCTTGAAGAATTCTACTAGATATCCTTTGTCACAAAATTGACTTGTACTTAACAAGTTGAATTTTAGACCTTCAACAAAGGACACATCTTCGATTCTTAAACCATTGTGAAATATTGTACCAATTTCGTTGGTTATGCCGTATCGTTCATTTCCTCCGAATATGACTTTTGGTCCTTCGATATTTTTAAAGTCCACAAGACTAGATTTATTTCCAGTCACGTGTCTAGAACATCCACTATCGAAGTACCAAACTTCCTCATTTTCTTCATTTTCATTTGCCATAAGACACATGTCCTCGTAGGGTGTGTTGTTGGAAATACTCATGCAAAACATTGCATTATCATCTTTTGAGGTGTCACTTTCATCACTTGAAGATTCCTCTGACTCACTAGTCTCTAGTGGGTCACTAATAAGTGCTTTTCTTCTCTCCTTTGTAAATCTTTTATCTTTGGTCTTGAATTCTTCCTGTTGAGAGTTAGAAGTATTTGTGTATTGACTTTTACTTACCTTGGGGTGTGGACAACTTGCTGCAAAATGTCTAGGCTTTCTACAATTGTAACACAAATTTGAATCTTCCTCAACTATTTCTTTCTTCGAATTCTTTGTTGCATTCCACGGTTTTCCTTGTGGATTTTTCTTGTAGTTGCTTCTCTTCATGAATTTCCTAAATTTCTTGACAAAGAGAGCAAATTGATCATTAGGCAATAATTCAACATTTTGTACTGACCTTGAAGTTGATGATTGCTCAGCTATGAGTGCGTTGTTCTTTTCTTCATGATCTTCCTCTATTCTTGATTTCATCTCAAATTCATAAGCTTTTAGATCACTAAATAGCTTATCGGTTGATAGGGTTTTTAGATCCCTATGATCTCTCATGACCGTGACTTTCATGTCCCCTGTAGATGGTAGACCACGTAGAATTTTGAGAGAAATTTCCTTTTGATTAATATCTTTTGGTAAGATAATTAATCTCTCCTAAGATTTTGGTAAATCTTGTTTCCATGTCGGTGATATTCTCGTCGTTTAGCATTTTGAAATCCTCGAATTTCTTTAATGCTATGGTGAGCTTATTATTCTTTTCTTGCTCGTCTCCTTCACCAATTTGAATGAGCGTTTCCCAAACTTCCATCGCGGATTGACATTTTCGGACTTTTGGAAATATCTTGTCATCTACAGATTTAAACAAAATATCCTTGGCAATATTGTCCAAGTTATTTCTAGTTCTATCTTCACGAGACCATTCCGCTTTCGGTTTTGGAATGTATTGTTGAGTGTCGCTTGTTTGTACGGATGAAGTGTTGACTTGTAAAATCTCAATAGGACCACTCGTAACCACTTCCCACATTTTATCGTGTAATGCGGATAGATGTACCTACATGCGAATTTTCCAATCATCAAATTTTTCTAAGGAAAATAGTAGATTTTGGGCAAGAGCCATATCTCTTTTCATCATCTTGATTTTTCGAGATCTATCTAGCAGTCAAGATTGACTCAAATAGACAACCGCTCTGATACCAATTGTTGGTCCCGATAGGGTGGTGAAAGTCTAGAGGGGGGGGGGGGGTGAATAGACTTTCAAGCTTTTTCACAATTAATAACTCTTTGGTAACTTCAACTCTAAGTAACAAGTAAATAGAGTAAACTTGAACTGCACAGCGGAATAAATAAGTGTAAAGAGTTATGCCCAATTAATAATTTGAATCACATGCACACGTATGATAAGCTCAGATGAGGTGTGAGAATGACATGAATATCTTGAATATTTAAAGGAGATGGTTCACTCAATATTTAACAATAGTATTCAAGACTATAAAATAAGATATCGTATCACGTCGACCGTATGTCGAGCGTCACATGCAATACGTCAAACTTGCTTAGAATAATTCAATATTTAAGCCTGGAAAGTTTGAGTTACATGCATACGTGAAAACGTGCTAAACCCGAAAGGTTAAGATTAACTGTGAATAGTAAACGGGTTAGTCGGATAAGATAGATAGATAGAGCAAATTATGTAAGTGCGGTATGTAAATGAGAGAGGCAATTTATAGTGGTTCGGAAGTGGCGTAATCTTCCTAGTCCACTTTACTCCATTCACTTCTAGGAGTAATTCACTATTTTCTACACACAGTTACAATAGTGAATAAGCGCTACACAAGCACTTCTTCCGGATGTCTTGCACACAGCTACACCCAACTTCGAGTGTGTCGCACACAGCTACACTCAACTCCGAGTATTTCGCACACAGCTATACTCAACGCCAACCAAGTGTTTTGCACACAGCTACACTTAGCAGTCACGAGTGTTTTGCACACAGCTATACTCACAAGAGTATTTTGCACACAGCTATACTCTTTTTACAATTACAAATACAAAGGTAATTGTATCTCTCTTCAACTAGTTTTGAGACTATTCAGACTAAGTCTCCAATGAGTATTTGAGCACTTGCACTTTTCGAATTTTGCACTTTGTTTTCTATCTCTTGTCTATCTTCTTTTTGTATTCACCTCTATGCTTTCTTCAAGTCTTCATGGCCCTTTTATAGATAACCAAATATATCCGTTGCAGTGGGATAATTTGATATTTGAAATTTGAATCTTCATAGCCTGATATTATTGACATCAGTAGATCTTCAATTTTGATTTGATTGTCAACTTGCCTGACAAAATAATATTTTATCTCAACTTGATTTTCGAGTTGTTTCTTAAAATATTATTTTTGTTGTCAATTTGAATATCTAGCGAATCTTTGAAATAAATTCCTCTGGTAGAATTTATTTCTAGGATAAGTTTTTATATTCATGTCTTCATAAATATTTTTTCCATTCTGATCAATATCTTCAGGCAATTTTGGATTCTTGTGGCATGTGGGCTGATTCAAAATAAATTCCTTCGAATTTATTGACTTTCTGAACATCTTGCTTCTTTGCCACATTGTGCTCCTTTGACTTAGGCACTTCTTGCTTGTTTGACTTGAACATTATGCTTTTCTGATTTGGTCACATTGTGCTTCTTTGGACACATCGTGCTTGTTCACATTGTGCTTCTTTTGAACATTGTGCATGTACGCATCGTGCTCCTTGGGAACATTGTGCTTGCACGCATCGTGCTCCTTGGGAATGAATTCTTGACTTGTAAAAAATAAGTCCTTGGGAGGGAATCAATCTCAGGTATGATCATTTTAAATAAAGATTTCTACCATTTCACCATTAGGCTCATCCAATCATTTATTGTAACGCCATTCTTTTATGCTTCTTTCTCGGATGAATACTCGTAGGACCAAAACTAATTTCCCAAATTAATTTTGTTCTTCATATGGTAGATTTCCTTTGACTCAATATTCTGGTTTATCATGCTTGTACTAAAAGACCTAAAATCTAAGGGGATCTAAAGTACATTTGGCTCATCAAAACTTACAAAAATATTCCTATCATATCTTTTATTGGAGTATGTGTGGAAAAGGACAAGCATACCAATGAACGGATGTGATCTTCACGATCTAATCTAACGGTTCTAAACAATTCAGATAAAAGCTGATTCAAAGATGCATGTGATATCTTTTATTGGAGTATGTGTGGAAAAGGACAAGCATACCAATGAATGGATGTGATTTTCACGATCTAATCTAACGGTTCTAAACAATTCTGATGATGCCTATAAAAACGTTCTTCATCACCAACAAATTGAGCATTCAACCCATTATCATCTATCTCTAAACATAAGAATTCAAATATGAATTCCAACATTGGAAAACGTCCTATGCCATTTTCTTCATCATCATCCTCATCTTCTTCATCCTCATCATCATCATCACCAGAGTCTAAGCACAATCTCGCAAGTGCAATACGAGCACAAACACAGTTATTAACCCATGCATATACTAGCCACACCCTTGCCATAGCTTCCTACATGGAAAATATGGATAATCAACCCCCTAGGCATGGAGGTTCGACTTTTGGTCATAGTGTGATTCATCATGATCGTGAAGAAGCAGATCGAAGATTATGGAATGATTATTTTTCAGAGTATCCAAAATATTCTGAAGCAATGTTTTGTAGACGATTTCGAATGAGTCGAAATTTGTTCCTACGAATTTCCAATGTTGTTAAAGGTCATGACATCTATTTTGTGCAACGAAAGGATAGAATCGGTAGACTGGGCTTATCTACTATACAAAAAGTTACAGCGGCGTTTCGAGTTTTGGCGTATGGAATACCAGCAGATGCAGCAGATGAATATATCCAGATTGGAGAATCAACTACAATTGAAATATATCCAGATTGGAGAACCAATTATTATTCTTGAAGCTGTAGCTGATTATGATTTGTGGATTTGGCATGCACATTTTGGTATGCCGGGGTCGAATAACGACATTAATGTGTTGGAGGGATCTTATTTGTTTTCCAATCTTGCAAACGGTATATCAGCTCCTTGTCATTATGTTATTCAAGGACAACAGTACCACACTGGATATTATTTAGCAGATGGTATATATCTAAAATGGTCCACATTGGTACAAACAATTCATGAACCTCGAGGGCCCAAAAAGAAGTTATTTGCGATGATGCAGGAAGCGTGTAGAAAAGACGTAGAACGTGCATTTGGAGTTCTCCAATCACGATTTGCAATAGTCAAGGGACCGGCACGTTTTTGGGATAAATGTGTATTGCATGATATAATGTCATCTTGCATTATAATGCACAATATGATCATTGAGGGCGAACGTGATGAGCAAGCAGATATACAAGGTTGGAAGGAAGCACCGACTCCTGAAGTTGATATAACTAGAGATGAGAATATTATATTTCAAGAATTTCTTGCTCGGCATAGACAAATTAAAGATAAAGAAGCTCATTATGCACTTCGTAATGCATCGATTGAGCATTTGTGGGAACGATTTAGTAATTCTGATAATTAAATGTACTAGATGTTGTATGTTGTATTATTATTGTGGAATAAATTAAATTTTCAAAAATATTGTTAAATTTGATTTTTTAAAATAATTAATGTTATAAAAAAATTAATGTTAATAAAAATTATTATTTACATTACAAATTATATTTTATATTAAACTAATTAAGTTCAAACTAAATTATATTAAACTAACTAAATTCGAACTAATAAGGCAAAAGTGTCAAATAGGCCCATCTACCAGCTAAATTTGTTCAATTGGCATTTTTTACAGGTTGCTAGCAGGTTGCCTATTTAATTATTATAAATAAATAAATAAATAGAATAAAAAATTAAAACAATTAAAAAAAATTAAAAAAAAAATATCAGCCACCGCGGACAGCCAGTATCTGCCCTTTCGCAGACAGCCGTGGCTGTCCAGCTGTCCTCGCCGGATAGCCACGGCTGTCTGCGAAAGGGCAGCCACCGGCTGTCCTTGCCGGACAGTCGGTGGCTGATATTCTTTTTTTTTTTTTAAATTTTTTAATTTTTTATTCTATTTATTTTTAATAATTAGATAGGCAACCTGCTAGCAACCTATAAAAAATGTCAATCAAACAAATTTAGCTGGTAGATGAGCCTATTTAACACTTAATTTAGTTCATGGTGGGAATTGAGCACTTCGCAGTAGTAGATGAGTCTATTTGACACTTGTGCCAACTAATAATTGAAAAATAAAATTATTTTAGTGTAAAAGTTTGGTGTTTTGGTGTTTTGGTGTAAATGGGTTGGAGATGAATAAAATTTGGTGTGAGAATATGCTGAGAATATTCCTTCTGATGTGACATTTGCTGAAAAAATTTGGTGTTTTGGAGATGGAGTGGTTGGAGATGCTCTAAGGGGAATGTCACCTCCACAGTCACCAACTCGCGGGTGACTGCACAGGCTAATAAAACTACTAAGTCAAAGAGTCAAACTAAAAAACAAATGATAAAAAGGGGAAGGGGTTATAAAACATATAGGAAAATAAACCCGTTAGCAATTAATTCTAAGTTTAAAACCACTCAACCCTGTAAAGTACTATAGATATAGGTTGGAAAACGTTTTGCAATCATACACATTCTCAAGTATGAATATAAGCAGTCAATACACTTAGTCAACGAATCTCAATAGATATACTCATATACTTGTATATGTTCAACAACCTATATTTTCATATAAGCATGCTTTAACTCATAACTCATACTTGCGCACATTAATATGTTGTAAACATATATAAGTTATCTATATTCTACTATGCACTTCTCACAATCATACTGATGCTCTCAAGATAGATAATGACATGAACTAATGCTAACAGATAAGATCATGCTTTCATGCTAATACTTAAACAACGAATGATATTGTACTTCTCATATAAACAAGATAGGACATATGCGGTGGGTGTCGAATCCAACAAATAATAGAGTACTTACTATTATAAATTCCAATAGTGATGAGTAAGGTCATACCCACAGAGATTGGTTAGATTTATTTTTAACAAAAGACTTAATAAAGAATGAGATGAGAATTGAAACTTAAATGCTCAGCAATAAAATGCAAACAATATCAAATATCAAATAATAATAATAATCAATAGCAACTAGTATCCAACTCAAGACATAATATCAATTTAATTCTAACAAGACAGATCATTGATTTCAAGACAAAATTACTCTACTCTTACCAAATTGGTTTTGGTTATTAACAAGCTCTAACAACCTATCTTTCCTTACTTTGTCGGTAATCAAAACTGGCTCTTTGATTACTTCCCTAGCTAATAAACAACTCTAAACAAGCTCTTAGGATTTAATTTACTAACAACATTAAAAAAATTAGAAAGACTATCAATTCTAGCCAACAAACTCGCAAGCACGATTCATTTAAGCTAGATTATACATCTCTATAACATATATTGAAAATCTCTTTTATAATCAACTATATTATTTTACTACTAAGGTTTAGAACACTTAAACAATTACATATTTAAGAATTCTAAATAGCAATTTACTGGATTGAAAATTGAACAACGGATCCTTATTGTGTAATTAATCAAAGTAGTAATATCAAGATAATAGAAGATATATAAATAATAAGAAGTAAAGATAAATTAAGCTAGATAAATCTCACTGGTCTTGAAGAATCAAATATCAATAAGCCTTGAATGGGAAAATTAGAATTTAGGAGTACATTGCAGGGGTGTTTACAAAGTAAATAAAATTATATTCTGAGAAAATCTGACTGTCCTCTAGTGAAAAATTCAGCCCTATTTTTATAATAATTCAGGCTCCCAAATCAGCTCAAAATAACCCTAATTTCCCTAACATCCATAAACCAATTACATTCTTCAACCACATAAATCCGAAAAATAAATAATCTGTATTTTTCTCACCAGAGGAAATTAATAGAATAGACTCCAATTACTCTTTGTCTCAATCTTATTTCGTCCGGCGTAGGAATTTGTAGATGAAGTTCGTCCGTGGAATCCTTCATCGCAGTAGATAGCACCGCCTGTGGAATTCCCGCAATTACCGTAGCAGCAGTCACGGAAGATTTCATAGAAGAAGTCGTCGATGCAGCAATCGCAGAAGCTGCTCGTCATTCCTAGTTACCGATGCCGTCGCCGTCCGAATCGTTCTTCGCATTCTGCATCGAAGTCGCAAACGGGAGTGCTATTGCTGCTGAGTTCCACGTACAGAGCTAAAGAAACAAAACCAAAAATAAAGGCAAATAAAATAAAAGACACTTGGGCTGTTGATAAAACAATTAAAATATTGGGCTAACTAATTAAAATAATAAAAAGGAAAATAATTAACCCAAATCATCAACTAAACCCAATTCTTACTAATTTTCTCATTAAGTCTAATTATTTATATAATTATTATATTAGTGCAGAATATAAAATAAAGCTTAAAATAAATATAATATTAAATAAATAAAACTAATTTATTATAATAAACTATCTAAATTCAATATATAAATCGTACTTATCAATATGCTATAAATTCCTATAGAAATGCTCTGCCATATATCTTCTCATTCTCCACTACAAGATAATATGCATGACCAGATCATAAGGACTTTCTCCGAGGTTGTAATGGGGCTTAAGGCAATGGGTAGGAATTATTTAGGAAATAGTTCAAAAAACCTTTAAAAATAGAGGAGCACGATTGAATTAACTTACTCAAAATAAAAACCAAATGAACGCAATCACTCTTGTTAATTTGATAAACATCACATCCAAAAGACCATAAACTATTCATACTTTATTATGAAAAATAGAAATAAAAATAAATACTGACAATTACAAATAATTCCATTTCTTTTTTTCCTCTTCTGTTTCGTTTCCTTTTCTCTTTGTTTTCCTTTTCTTTTCATTTTCTTTTGATTCTTCTTTTCATTTTTGAAGAATCATTATATATTTTTTTTTTCCTTGATTTCTGCTTCAATAATGAGCAACGTACAATTTCTTCATCGCCCACTCCTCAATTTCTTTATTCTACTGTTTTTTCTTTTTGAAAATATTAACCAAAAGGCTCATAGAAGTCTAATGACCAATTCATTATTTCTACTCATAAACACTTTGTCAACATCTTTCCCACACTCAAATCTTAATGCATTTACCCAATCAAAGCTCCCCTAATCCTTTAGGCAAGCTTTAAGGAAATTAATTTTAGGGATAGGGTTATAATGTGGTTTCATAACAACAAAAACACAGTTAAAAGTGCTCAAAGTGGCTGACTAAGGATAAATCAATCATGGTATGAACATGCTATTTGCCTAGTGAGGCTAAAAATCAAAGATGGCCTTAATCATATTAAAATCATGCATGTATCAAATTAGCTTTAAAGAGAATCAAGGCAAGTTCTAGAGATACAAATCCATGGAAGATATCACACAAGAACAAAATAATTGGACTGAAGTGTCACTCAAAGGCTCAAAAATCTCACAGATTCATGCTTGCTTAGTTTAGCCACCACCATATCAAACAAAATACTAAACTAAATAGTCATAATATGCAAGACCAGTTATTCAATTATGTTATGAATTTTAGTAAAAATACTATTATTTTTGAAAAAATTGTTAGTAAAATTTTTAAGGGAAGAATCAAATAATGAATAATAGGTAAATCCCCTCCCCACACTTATTCTTAACATAGTCCCCAATGTTAAATAGAATGTAAAGATAAGAGAAAATTAATAAAAATGCAAAACAAATAAAGGAAACAATTGAATAAACTCCCCTTGGGTTGCCTCCCAAGTAGCGCCTTTCTTTAACGTCTTTGGCTAGACTCCATCGTCTTCCTAACACATCTTCCACGTTAGGATTTCTATTCAACGCAACATCTAGTTCATCATCACCAATCAACTGTGAGTTATCTTCCTGCAATAAAATATCCACAACAAAAATAGATGATATGTCATTCAAATGTTTCATGGAAGTATTAAATATATCAAATTTTATAATTTCATCATCAAACTCTATTGTCAATGTACCATCATGCACATGAATTTTTGATTTAGGTTTTTTTAGAAATGGCCTTCCCAATAATATTAGCATTGAATCACAAGAATTATTATTATCTCCCATATCAACTACATAAAAATCAGCAGGAAAAACTAACCCTTGCACTTGTACTAAAATATCTTCCAAAACACCCCTAGGATACACATTAGATCTATCAGCAAGTTGAATAATTATACTCGTTTCTTTTAATGGACTAACATTTAGAGATGAATAAACAGACAGAGGCATGACATTAATTGAAGCTCCAAGATCTAACATTGTTCTTTCAATATTAACTTTACCTATCTTGCAAGGGATAGCAAACATACCTGGGTCTTTACACTTGGGAGGTAATTTTTTCTGAAGGATAGCTGAAACATTTTCCCCCATGCTTACCATTTTATTTCCTTTCAACTTTATTTTAATTGTGCACAACTCTTTGAGAAATTTAGTATACCGAGGAATTTGTTTAATAACATCAAG